TCTTGTGTCGCACTCTCTTGAGATTGTGTCTTTAGCTAAGGAAAACACTCTACCTTGATTCCTCTTCGCAGTCTTCTTCTTCTAAGAATGGGGATGAGGTTTGTTGGCATTTTGTCGTTCATCACAGTAGATCACAAGACAGTGTTCGAACCCTCTGAAGAAATTTCCCTTTTCCTCAACCCATTGCTAAACTATGACTAAAGTTGAAGAGAGAAAAGACGAAAGTGTAAACGGGGTTGAGTTTTCTGGCTTCTCACCCCCCAACTAAAGATTTCCCCTAAGATTTTCCAAGCCACAGGCTATAGAGGGAACAAGAAAAGAGAAAGGAAACGACCTGTTGAGCTAAGAAATACGCTGAAAGTCAAGTCCAGATACAGGATGATATTTTCTTACGAGAAATGGATCTGACTTCACCCTCTTGAAGTATTAAGAATCAACTTGTTGAATCTAGAATCGAGTCCCGTCCAAGAATAACACTTGTTTTACTTTTTTTCTCTTGTTGTTGTGCGAAAATGAGACGAAGCACGCAAGCTGTTCTAATCACAACCCTTCAAAACTCTACAACTCGCCTTTTTTTATACCATAAAAACTCTTCCCCTTCAGTTCAAAATTCATAACACGCTGTGTGATGTAGTTTATTTCGCAACTTAAAAAACATTTATTTCAATAATCTCATTAAGTCATTACTCGAAATATAAAATATGGTTTCACTTAAACACACTGAAGACTGAATTTTATAATAACACTACTTACATAAATTCCGACCTTTTTTTTTTAGCTACTTGACGTTCCAAATACTTTTTTTGTACTTAATCAGTATAAACCAATTAATAAAAAAAATTTATAATAAAATTTTTATTCAAATTTTTGTTTTAAAAATTCATTAGAATTAACCTTTTATGTTGTTAGAAAAAAAAAACTGGCTATTCAAACTAGCAAATTAACAAAAAGTTTGACAAGAGAACAGAGACAGTGTGTATTGAAATCTAACAAAGTAAATGTTAAATTGTAAAATTTCTAATAAAACATTGATGAATGCTATTTTTATAAAAATTTTATCGAATAAATATAGTGAACAGTACAATCGCTAGTCAAGAGATATTTATTGACATTTTATGTGAAATCAATGAGCTAGAATGAGTACTAATGATTACTTTCATCATATTAACAACTGTATAGTTTATTATAACTACTGTTTGATATAAATAAAAATCATTTGATCACGAAAATTAAATAGTTTGATAAAGATATAAAATCATTTCATGCCATATATAACGAAATGGTTATCTCAATATTGGTGGCAGTGATTCAAATCGAGCTGTGGTATATTGTCTTTCAAGAAAGCCTTCCGGATGCTTAATCGTCCGTAAGACAACTTGTTGAATCCTCCTCCTTCTCTAAGATTGTCCAAGCTAAGAAGCCACTTGTTGCGTGCTTCTTAGCTGCTATTTCCGCAAATAACAGCTCCGTTCGAAAGTATTGCCTTTCAACTTAACAGCTGTTAGAAGTTAAAAGTGGTTGATAAATAAAAATAAATTCATTTCTTATCTCATTAAGTGATAAAAAAGCTAATTAAATTTTTTTTAATACTTTAAAACAGAATGTTTTAGTTAATAAGCATTGGAAAATGGTGCAAAAGATTGAAGAGGATAGCTTGATGCAATTATAGGCATTCAAAAATTACCGAGAACTGCCAGAAATTTTAAATCCAGTATTTTTGCGAATTTATTTAGGCTTTTTAGCATAAATGGAAAAATTTCTGCCACTAGATGAAGTGATTGAAATTCTTGCATTAAAGTTGTGAGATGATTTATCAAATTCGTAAGAAAAAGAGACTCCAAAATAATAATAGAGAATTAAGGTAATAAATCTGTCAAGATAACATCATTATTCGAGCATGTCTCATAAAAAATGTCTTAAATGAAATTTAAAAAGCTCTTATTGAATCATATTGTCTCAATATTCACAAAAATATGTGGATAGAGCATGATAAAATGAACTTATAAAGATTAATTTAAAAAAATTTGTTCCATTTCTTTAATTAAAAATTAAATCCGAGAATATTGAAGAGTAAAAATTTGATGATTTAATTAATTAACAATGGTTAAAAATAACTAACTTCAACAAGATCAAATCATCATTGTTCTTTTTTGAAACAAAGAAATTAATAAATAATTAATACTTGTCATGTTTTAGACTTTTATCTAAGTCTCTACTTGCATATGCTTATAATAAAATTAATTAATTAATTAATTATCTATGACATAAATAAATAGATCTACAACGGTAGACTTCAACATGTGCTAACATACGGTCGTTTGATAAAGCGTAGCAGCATCGAGCATTTAATGAGCTGTTAAGTGGCACACAACTCGAGACAGACGAAGACGTCAAATCGGACTGTTAGTAGGAGATGTCTATAAATAAATCGAATTAGTTTAAGGATGCTTATGAACGTTCCATCAAGAGAGAGAGAGAGAGAGAGAGAGAGAGAGAGATTCAATTGACAAGATTGGATGTCAATATGTGTACGATAAAAATGCAAATATTGATCAGAGATATTTTTTCTCATATCAAGAAATAAAAAATAATAATTAAAATAAAACTAAACATCATTTTCCACCACTCACGTTGATTAATTCGTCTTGTTGATGAAAAAGTCTATATGTATGTTTTATTCAACTTTATTCGTCTTTTATACTCAAATTAATTTCTTGCGGGTACGTGACCCTCGTAAAGTTTGTTGGGAAACGAAAAAAGAAATGTATTCTATATATATTGAGACGCTTGATGATTAGATCCCGACACGTGGCTATTGTATTTCTTGAAAAAGAACGACGACTCACCCTCGACGATTCACTCACATCGTTGTTCGATTATCGTGTCTTATTCATGCTCGAATAAGATCGTAACTTAATATTCTCTTATATCTTCAATCAACGAGTCGATCAGCTTGATGAGAATTTTCAAAATAAACTTTCAACATTACACTCACGTAATAAAATAGCTGAATAAAAATTCGAAAAAAATAAATTAGTTAGTTCCATGTTACTTTTTTACAGCCTTGAGGTTTTATGCATTACATTTATAATCATTATTTTTACCCTTTAATATTTGAAATATCAATCTTTCAATATAACCAAGTCGAAAGATTTTTTTCAGTCAACTCAATTTGCAACCCCATCTTCATAGTCCCCTATATGTTCATTCGGGGGGCGTATGGCAAAGAAGCCACCCTCTTGAAGCTCAGGAAGATCAGTTCGAGTTTGATTTTATTAAGTTGCGCAATGCATCGTCGTAGTTTCTTTGTTTATAAAGAGCCATCTGTCGATCCTGAGTACATATGAGGTGTTGGTCTTAACATAAGAGTATATTTATTATTCTACAAGACCATCATCAACCTACATCGGCTTTATAAAAAACAAACTTCCTTCTTATATTAATTCCTTTCTCAACTCAAAAAGTCACGATTTCTTTTAAATTTATCATTAAAAAAAATCAAGAAATGTTTTATTTTCATATTTATAATTATAAATGCTCGTTTAGTTCTTAAGCCATTTAGTTTATCGATCAACCTGTCAATAATTATTGTATAAAAAAAAATATAATTGTTATTTTTTAATGAGCTTTTATTTATTTTTTTTACTAAATTTCGATTCCGTTTACTGGGTTTTATAATTACTAGCTGGTTGTAATGCTAACACATATAAAAAATAGTTAAAAAATCGAAGATATTAAAAGTATAAGATCATAAAAAATAGACTGGTATAAGCGCAATTCCGGGATAGTATCGAGTATTGATTTTACTTTGAGCTGTGCTTTTCCCCGCGACCCGTGCATTCGTCGTCATAACCTGGACCTGGGTATAAAGTATATACACGAGGGCAGTTTATTAATCCAATGATACATACGACAGAGAAATAACTCTCGCTGTTTATTTATTGTCGTCTCTATTTCTCTCTTCAGTCTGCTTGCTATGAAACAGGGAATAAGAAGATATGCAAACGTAATATAAAATTGAATAAACTAAATAATTTGGACTTTATTTTATTGTTCGTATCGATGGATTGTAAATTTGGTAACTTTAGTATTTGAATCAAATCTTTTTATAGTAGTTATATAATACATTTCCGGATTAAATGTATACAGTTGTTTGGCAAAATGTAGTGCAAGATATAGAGAAAACAAGAGGAACGGAGTACTTGAGGGAGAGGTTTAGCTAAAAGGAGAATAGCTAATACATCACAAACTTAGGGACAAAGAGGAGGATGTCGTAGTCGGTACAAAACTTTACCTATTTGTTAAGTCTTGCTACTCGAAACTGCCTGAGACACTATGGCGTCGCTTTTCTCTCACTTTATAAGCATACTATACGACCTCAAGGGTGATTGTAAAGTAGTCTACAATGCACTACATGAGATGCTTAATTCTTCGATCGACTTCGATCTTCAAGTTACTACATCATGGAAAAAACAAACAACAATACTCTCAAGAGAAACTTATAATTTTAAGTGAGAAGAAAAATGATTGATTTCTTGGTGAATAGATTTATTTAATTCTATCATCGATATATAATTTAAAATATTTAATTTTAAAAATTAGCATTGATTATAAAAGCATTACATTTGCATATAATTGCGTTATTGAAACTAAAAAGTAAAAGGGAAAAATGAAAGTGAGCATAGCTTTCTCCGGAGGTAAAATATCAGTGACATGCATTTACATAGGGCTGTCTTCTCCTGCTCCATCGTTTTCGTCGTTGCCTGACGCGTAGAAGATCCATAGGGAGTTTCATTGTCACAATAATATTGCTTTAGGGGACATTATAGTGACACACACTGAGTCAATCTCAAAAATAGAAAAATAAAAAACAATATTTATAATAATTCTCAATTACATTATTTATTTACAAATATTTTAATTCATTTATCTCTAATATTAATGATAGTTTTAATAATAAATTTCATAAAAAATCTAATTGATGAAATTTTCATTTTCAGACGACAGCATCTTTCACATCACCTCCATCGAATCAATCGTAAGTATTTATAAGTGATAAATAATTGAAAGGAATGAATTTTATTAAAAAAATAGTGAATTTATTTTGGAGAAGGGATAGTTTCTACGCCACTGTGTGCACGCGCGCATGGTGGTTGACAATGCAGCGCCTGCAGAAGTGTAGAAGGGAAAAGAGATGGTATTCGCCAGAGGGCTGTCGATTGGGGAAAGGGGTAAAACAGGAGCGAGAAAAAGAGAAGGTACGACGGAGGTGGAGATGTGCTCTAAGGTACATAATCATGCTTGCTGATTCCTTCCCTAATAAAAGTCGCACTGTCACTGAGCCCCTGCGGAGTCACAATCGCCCGCAATTTCTCCTTGTCTTTTTTTCGCTCAATCTAGATACTACTACACAGTCTTGATTCGTGTAGTGTACATGACAAAGAAAAAAAACTGCCCGCGGCGTAATTCGTATATTCTTTTAGATGCAGTCTGAAATACTTTGCGATGCACTACAATCGATCCGCATCATTATTTTGTACTTCTTACACTGAGGAAAAAATGTTTCGTTTTCTGGGTAGACATGTTCTCGTGATTAAAAATTATTTCAACACATTTTTTTCGAATTAATCATTCCAATAATTTACTTAAATAATCATTTAATTAATCAATAACAGCAAACTTGATAAAAATATATTAAAAAAAAAAATTAGTCATTGGATTGTTGGAAGAAATGATCAGATAAAATATGAAATGATTTAAGTTAGAGTTCAATTTTTTCCTCAGTAAAAGGAAGATAAATTTTTAGAAAACAGGAATGAAAAATAATTGTAAACATAATTAGTTCCTCATGATTATTAGGGTGTAAAGGCGACAAATAGTGACTGGTAGGTAATAAAATCACACCGGAACGCATCGAGGGGTGTCTTGGTTTGTTCGCGTCAGGGTCGATCTTTTTAAAGGGCCAAAGAAACCGAGGGCCAGAGAGGTGAAGGAACAGAGGCAAAGGAGATATAATACACCAAGGGTCTTTGGCCTAAACAGGTCTCAAGGTGCATGTCTGAAGCGCGTTTAAAGGGCCAAATAAGAAAACGCCAGATGGTTCGACCTACCCTAAAGTTCCAAGTAAAACAGGCGCCGCGGTACGTTATGAATCATGTAAGTAATATCGCCACGTGGATGAGTTTTAACTAAATCAGACGATTAAGAAAAAATTTTCTTCACCATCTTTTTCTTCCTTTCTTTCTTTTGTCTCTCTCATCAATATCTGGGTCTTGGAGGCTGTCGATAATGACGCGAGCTGATGCGTGCCAGCGAATAGAGAAACTCTTGATCGCTGAACATATGTTACCAAGTCATTGTGGATTTTTATCCTTCGTGTCTAAAATGGTCTGAAGAGGTCCAGAGAATCGTTTGTTATTTCTCTAATCTCCCGTTAGACAGGAAAAGGACAAATGAATCAAAACCCATGAAAAATTAGACCGGATATCGAAAAAGTGTTTTGATCCTGCAATATGCCATGAGTCGTAAAGAATAATGTAACGGAAAATATAACAGTAAGAATGAAAAAAAGATGAAGGAAAAAATTAAAATTTCTCTTCTTTATTTTTATAAAATACACAACAGTTGTGGCTCGTGCCGATTCACGACCACAAATCTTCGAGGTTTTTTTTTTATCGGTATTTTTTCCTTTCCTTTGAGACACTCGAGCACCCACGCATGCTAAAAGAAATCTTCAGTTCTTTTCATTCTCAGTTTTATACAACAAAATACAATATATATGAGTGTATGTATATGTACTGAATTATTCTTTATTAGAATCTCGGTCATACTTTTCTCTACTTGAAAGAAGAAAAAAATAAAAACAGTGAATACTTGTATACACGATATGTTGATTGTGCAAAAGATGCTTCTCTTTCATTTCCTTTTAATACTTGAGAATGAAATCGATTGAAAAAGTATAGCTTTGATTATTATATTTCATGTTCTCCAAAGAGTTTAGGATAACGATGTTCTTAGTTTGAAATAACCAGATGTATAGTTCAAGTATATAGAGAGAATATATGTACGGTTGATTGCATTAGAAAATAGACCAATACGATTCTCGTTGTTGAGTTTTGAATAAGAAATGACTGTTCTCTACAATACAGGGTACGGTCGTACATTGTATTTACTATACAAACCGCCCACGCGCCTCTCACTTCAATCATAGTCCTTGGCTGAAAGCTACCGGAAATACCATGCTGAGTATTAATTTGGCTTTTGCTACAATGGAGACGACAAATTGTTAGAGTATTATTTTCAATAAGGCGTGAAAAGCTATAACACCACAATTACCTTGTTATCTTACTGACCTATAGAATTTTGGAAGATTAAAAAGAGCAACAAAGTAAGTTGTCACTTTTGCATTGTAGTAGAATGCAGAATTTTTAAATGGACACTAGACCACTGGATACCTTTATTCTCGAGATCAACGTACACGAGATCCGTTGTCGTTTCAGGGCCTAAAAGGTGTTTACACTATTGGGGGTCGTCTTTTAAGAATTTCTATTCGAGTCAGAGATAAATTATTAGTAGATAAATAACGTATTTTATCTTACTAGGTTGACCTTTTAATGTTATAAGTCTCTATTTTATGGCAATTTTACAATAGATTTCTTCAAATTGACTCCAGATGGTATGATAAATTAAACTGGAAGACAAATTGATAGATTTTTTTTCTATTAAATTCTTCAGAATAGTTATTTTCATCAATTTGGATATTTAATTCAAAGAAATAACGTATAAATATTTTCCTTTCATCGTATTAATTTTTTTTCTTACGTGAAAACTCTATTAAGTAGATAATAATCGTACTTAAAATAATATTAGACTACAAAGGAATCTCCACTTCCTGAATAAATAGTAGAAAAAAATTAAATTAGAAAAAATAGACGTTTAAAAAGACATTCGTTGCTTGGACAAATAACTTACAAAAAATTAGGTTTCTTTTTTTTTTTAAATGAAGTTCTTGTAATAATAAAGATAAAATTTAGATAAGTAAAATAGTTAATTAAATAGTTATTTTTTTGTCATCTAAAAAATTTAAAGACGCTTTCAAATAATTTATTGAATTCAACAGAGCAAAACGCAACTAAATATTTACATATGGCATGATAATTTGTATTTATCCAAGCATTTTATCATTGGTGATTAATCTTGTGGATCTATTCAATGTTTAGCATATAATTAAAAGTACATCAGTCCAACTTCATTTATATTTTACGTAAAACCTTCAATACAATAAAAAAAAATCAACAAACAAATGGAAGGAATTTTTCTTTTTAAATAAATTGAGATGATGATCAATTTACTGTAACTAATCAAAAACTTGGAGTATTTTTTTTTCGAGGGAGGTTTTCTAAAAATCCAAGAGAATCATATGGAATTTCGATATGGGGGAGCACTATCACTCTACCCCTCCTATAGAGTCTTGCTATCGAAGTAGCTCGTGCGCTACCTGAGCAGCTGCGATGTCCTACAGAGGGTTCTAAAGCATTGGCAGAAGTTTTATTTTTATTTTACCTCGCCTTATGGGTTGTACACGCGCTACTAAAGAAGGAGAGGGTGCGAGAGTGAAAAGAGAATAAAAAGAGAGTAAAAGCTATATGAAGTGAAGAGAGAGGACCCCTTGGCTAGACGCCGCCAGGTACCCCTTATTACTTGAGCGTCACGCTTGAGAGGGGGTGCCATCTGCCCCCCTAACGAGTGTGTGACGTCAGGTGTGACGATATGTACTAGTAAGAAACGTATGTCTTGTTATTAACCCCCATGTTGATCAACAGTGTTGCCAGCTTCAGACACATTGCACAGCTATTTTTTACAGGTTTTCTTAAATACAAATATTCAATTTATTATTTCATAAAAATCTTCATTTTTTTACTAGTTAAATTACTTTACGTTCACTTTTATTCTTAAAATTTAAAGAAATTAATTTGCTTCGCTCTAGAAACTTGAAGTTATTTTTTTAAACAAGTTTTTAAGTTAAAAAAAAATAGAGAAATAAAATATTTTTAAAAATCGAAACAATTAATAAAACTTTTCTTAAACTCAGTCCTCACGTAATAAGATTAATTCATGAACTCCAACTGGTTCGATAACTGCAGATACAGCACAATCAAGAGGAAAAACTTGGAGGAAAGTCAAATACATTTGCACTCAACAGTTGATGTTAAAAATGAGTTATAGATATTCAAAATGATTGAGAAGAATTTTACTGTCAAAATTTACATATTTTTTGAAATATGTAATGTAGGCATATAAAATATTATATGATGTATATGAGTTAAATTTCATAATTTTCCATTAGTGTATATTATGAGCAACTAAAAACGCCATATGTTATTTAAATAGAAAACATATATGAAAAAAAGAGAAAAACTTTTCTCTTTTCATTTCACCGTAAATTAAATTATGAAGTACGTTTTTATTTTTTTTTTCATATGGATCTATATACCAAATAGTTTACTCACAAAAAAGTTTCATATATGTCAAATTTATGTTTATATATATTTAAATATTAATGTGTCTCTCTAGTATTCATCATTACCTTTCATATTTTTATTTATTATTTATGTTTTGGAAGAGTTTAATATTAAAAATAATACCAAATATCTACGAATAAAAATATTGAATATTTAGTTAGTGAAAATATATCAAGTTGATTATCAAAATAACTTTGAAATTATTTATTTATTTAATAAACATTTAAAATTTGTTTTATATTTGAAAATAAAAATATTAAAAGATTTTAAATGTTGTAGGAAGTTGCTATTAATGTGTTGACTAGTTGGTACCTTTATATTTTTAACGGTAGCAAGATAATTGCCATTCCCCACTTTCCTAGGTCAGAGTTAAACGAGGCGCCAACTAAAGTGCACCCAGACCTTGAGTATGTTTAAGTGAATCGAAGAAACTCGGTCGACTCTAGGAGAAAAGCAAGATTTTCATTGACTTTCTAATAAAAAATAGAACAATCTATTTTTAACTTCACGATTGGTA